CCCATTTCTCAAGCTCTTTTACTACATTGCAAAAAGATTATTACCAATTATGTGCAAGTTTACTCTATGTTCTAAGACAAGGTAATTAGAAACCACAACTACACAACGACAAGAAGCGATAAGCTACAAGGAAACAGTCCTTACGTCAATATGCGGTTACTTATCCAAGCCGCAAGTATTGAACATTGTTTCGACATGTTGATATACGACCTCTGTAAGGCACTATACAGCAGTAAGCATTTTTGATCTATATATTAATACGAGAAATAAAACTTTTAAAATAACTGCATTCTTCATTCCTCTATTTAGACTATAATGTTTGCGAAATGTCATCCTCGTCTGTTCTCGAAATTTTTGTAAAACTATACCTTTTTTTACAAACACGGCTAGAACAGGCAAGTATGACTCACACTGACCCTTATAGAATAATATAGATTAATGCTAAAAAAATAATTACACATACGACTATATATTTGACACATACACACATATACACTCTTTTGTTTATTGTTTAAGGTCTGGAGTCAAATTGAGAATAGTTTAATATTGTTATTATCTATATCTATAGTCTTACTGAATGTAAAGTTAATTATGGTCAAATTTCGATCACTAGTTATCATAATTACTAACGAACGAAATATAAACTATCTCCCTGAAGGACACGTTATCATAGAGAGGTTTTATTGTAAGCATACTGATTTACCCTACATATAGTTTAAATGCATACCAATTTTCATTTACGTCAATTCAGTTTCTTGTATATAAAATGTATGCCTAGTGATTCGATTCTTTATGCACTGGTATTCATGAGTAGTTAGATAATATAACTCAGGACAGGACATATAACACATCGTTATATTATAAATTGATCAAAGTTTGTTTTTTAAATAAATTATATATATAATGCATGTTAATAAATTATATATATGTATGTGTATAATAAATTATATATATAATGCAATTATATATATATCATGAATATGAATGTCTATGTTGTGCGTAGATTGAAGCCACGTCCGCTGAAATGTGAAGCAGAGTGCCATTCCACTGCATTACCGAAGTCTATTATTTTTGTCATAATATCTGTTGTTCTATATTAAGGATCTTGAAATGACCACACATTTCTTAACTGAGTATAATAAATCAAGCACTGCACGCGAAAACCTCGTATAAATTTAAGTGTACACGTAAATATTTGTTCTTGTTTACTCACGTTAAGGCACGGAAATTGTACATAAACCTTTCTTATCTCTAGTTTTAGTGGGTACTTATAGGAGAAAATATGTCTTTGGGATATAGTGAATATTAATTCAAAGAATATCATTTTAATAACAGCTCATTAATAGATATCGGTGTAATCTTTAATTAAACAGAATTAAGGTTCACCATTTATAGTTTATATTCGTTAGTTTTGTTTTATTGAATATTACCGTGATTTATTATATATATAACAAATATGTTTATTATATATATATATTGGAAATCATATTATGTTAATTTCGTATATTTAAATATAAAAAAAAGTAAAACGGTTTTTTACCGTTCTATACTTTGTGCCGCGTACAAAAATGAAGTAATTCAAAAATATTATATATAAAATAAATGTTTAAGAGTGCGTATGTTTACTTATTTCATTGTTTGTCGAATTTAAGAAAAGAAAATTGAACTTGACGCATTACCAATCAAACAATCATTATAAAGTTTAGCATATACATAGAGACAAAGTCAGGAACATAGATAAAGACTAATTAAAAACATTATAAGAGACGGTCGCAGACTCCTCACTACCAGATTATCTTATTAATTCTAAGTATTGAATATTTTTTTAAGTAACTATTATACAAAAAATCACCTAATTCCATTCTTAATATCAATGTTAATGTTTAAATAATCTCACAACTGAGAAGTGAAGTCCAATTTACTTTTTAGGCTAACCTGGTTGTTGCTCGTGTTTATACCATATGTACCATAGACGACAGTCTATATACGTATGGTATAAATGATACCTACATGAGCAGCATTACATTCTTGACAAAGTATATTACTACAAAATACTACACTATAAGATACGCTATCGACAGGTAATAACATGCGTTCCTATTCCTGAGAACTACTATACATTGTTATGCCTGCATACCTATCCCTTAATTTCACTGCCATATCTCATCTCTATACATCGGACTTAAACACAGGATGCAAGCAGGACACAACAAGCTGCTTAGCAACACAATTAGGTGAGAAAGAGATATTCACGTAGATGATTTTGCACAAACTTTGACTGATAAAACCAACACAAAAACACAAAGTTGAATTAAGAGAAAACAAAACAAAATGTAATTATAATAAATAATTAATATTATGAATGTACTACGGACTTATCAGTACAAGATAATGGGTGAAGTTTAAACAATTTTGCCGGGCGTCGGCCACAGGAGCGAGAGACTCGAAACTTTCGCCTTAAATTACCTTAAACCCGACTTGTCACTCGGCGACCCTTATCCGTGAAGAATCTCATTATCAATTTTCAATGAGTTTACTTAAAATTTTCTTTTACGTACTGTTACGGAGCGAGTCAACCGATACTAAACAGTTTTACGTTATTTTCGATTACCATGCGATATTGTCAAATAACTTTACCGATTTTAAAGATACAAAGATATGTTCACACATTACATTCTTACTCTTATCACCACATGGAGTTTATTTAAATTTTAATTATAAACATTATAAAACAAGAATACAACTTCTTATTTTCAACGTCTACTTTGTTTGTAACGTCTCTCAATCCTTACTAATATTATAAATGAAAGTAACTCTGTCTGTCTGTCTCGCTTTCATGCCAAAAGTACTAAACCGATTTAAATTATATTTGGCGTGACAAAAAGGTTGTAGGGGGTTGAGAGGGCAGATGATAGATTACATGGAAGTAATGTCATCTTACGGAGACGAAGTCGCGGGCACAGCTAGTATTATATATATAATATTGATTTTAATATACCAGGTTTTATTATTGATGATTTTTTAATAAATTATTTCTTTCCTCCATTTTAATATATCATAATATTTTTATCACTATCTCTGCTGACACAGTACTTTTTAGAGTACAGAAATTATTTACAAATTAATAATATTATCAAAATTTACAAAATTACTGATAAATAAAATGTCAAGTAGAATATTTCCAGAGTTTAATATGAGTTAAAGATCCAAATCGCGCTCCATTGATTCTCACCTTACCTTCACGATTAATCAAACAAACAACGAATTAAATTCTAAACAATAAAGGCCTTTTCTCTCTATGCGAACTTTAATACCTCTTACAATGGACGATGCCTTTATATTAAATCCTTTCACATAAAAGGGTCTGAAAGATAATACCGCAAGTGGGATCTTATTTCTCGGCTCAGTAGGGACAATCAATTATTGATGTACCCCGAAATTGCGAGTTAAAAGTCGGTGGATGAATTTAAAATTCTAATAATACGATCTCTTTAACGGAATTGAATAAATCTTCTCAATTTAGATATGTGTTTTTTATGCAATTGGAAAAGCAAACAAGCAGACGACCAACATGATGGTAAGTGGCAACTGTTATAGACAACAACCGCACCATCGACATCATGGGGCCAGGTGGCATCCACGGTACTCTTACGGTTCCATTCCTAAGGTGTCATGCCTCAATACTCCAAAATTTAACGGCTAATTTATTTACATAAATGCTATTTATTTTCATAAATAGATGAAAGAGAGTTTCTCAAACAGATAACTGTGTTCAAGTCTAATGGTATTCGAAATTTGCGTATATGTGTTTATTTTTTAATTTCTAATTATTTATTAGCCTATGGGTATAGATAGATGCCTAGTCCTATGTATGTTATTAAAAAAAAACTATATTTTATACACTTATGTACAATGTTTAGGTGATATACATACATGTTTTACTTTATTTGCAAAATTATATATTTTGGATGTTAACATTTAAATGTATGATACAATTTCTGGAACTGTTTATACTTGCTTAAAAAAAACAACCAAACTACCCGCAATGTCAAAGTTATATTAGAACGTCGCAAACAAACTTACCAGAGAACTTTTCCTCCGACAATGACGAGGCTTGTTGTGCAGAATTTGTTATGAATTTACTTCGGACCAACTTTACTCATATTCTTCCACATGTGACTTTGCATTATTGCGCTAAATTTAACATAGATGCTATGATGGTTATAATGTGAACCATATAAAAAAAAATAACTGATCTCTGTCTGTACATGGAGGATATATGTAATATATAAAATTTATTAGGGGACAGCCATAAATTAAAACATACGTTAAGGGGCGGGTTGAGGGTTGATAAACTGTAATATGGTGTGACAATGACCGAGAGTCATAAATATATGACCAATCATCCTACATAAGCCCAAAAATTGTATGTATAACTAAATTATTTCATATGCCTAAAATTATTACTTATTTAAATTTTAAATATATACTATATATTAGGCACTGTATACTCACGAAGTGGTAATGGTGATATTTCTTTGGTTTTTGTCAAGTTTGATTTGAAAGGTATTTAATTATTTATAGTCTTCATTTCAGCAAATACAGAACTAAAATTATAAATAATAAAAATACAAATTTTGTATATATACATAACTCATCCAAAATGCGTTATGTATATATACATAACTCATCCAAAATGCGGTCTTATCGCTAAGCAATCTCTTCCAGACTACCTTTGGGTGGATGGAGAAAGTAGATAAGAAAATAACTATTAATATCAAAAGCAACTAGTATAAATTGTTTCCAGCACTTAGCAGTGCCTATATGTATAATATTTGGAGTAGCTAACCGTATGATAACTATGGTAAGTTACTCCTTTTGTAGTTATTTTATGGTTTTTGGGTTTGTCTACACGTCGTACGCTAATGCAAAGCGTGCGACGTGTAGACTACCCCCGTATTGGTGGTTGCTGTGGGTTCAAGTTGTAGGATGTTGTGTGAATTATGTAGGCCAATCCCGGATACAATGCCGAGCTAACCCGTGACGGTAGTGGAGCCGAGACCCGAACATCCCGTAGGATTACAAAAAACAGTTTAATATATGCTGGTACTCCCCCATGAGAAAACTTTCAGATATTAATCTGAAAAGAACAAATACTAGACTTTGATCTTAGCCAAAAGGCCGAGAATGGATAACAACCAATTCCTGACGTGGGGAGGTCATTCGGAGCGAGAAAATCTTAACATCGCCAACTAGGATTCTGCATGCATTTTAAGCAGCGCCATCTAGGAGCGCTGAATGAAACTACACTATCCACATTGCTTCGTTGGCGTCTATGTAAGCAACGAGTTCAGTTGAATCTACATTCGTTGGTTTTTATATCTCAGTTTGTTGGGTTTAAGTGATATGTTTAGTAAAACATAGCATAAAAAAACTTTCTGGTTATTGTCCTTCCTTATAATATGAAAACAATTAAAAATATGAAATAATGTTAATATATATTCTTGGTTAAACTTATAATTTCGTAATTCGCATAATATATGAAATTACTCTAGGGAAAATACCCCCTGTATTCTCACAAATTAGTTATCAACTGTGACAGGGTGGGTTAAAAATAATGAAAATATTGTGATGTATCTTCCGAATCATCCTAATAGAATCCAAACTAAAGTGGTTTTCATTAATATAATCTGGGTATATATTACTATATAGTACATAGAAACCAGAGGATTTTTCGTAAATTGTTTCCACACTGTCGAAAACCACTAAGATGGTACCTGAAATTTATATTATGAAGCCTAGTGAAAGTCAGCTGCGGTTCCGAGGGTGGCTAAGGAGCAGCACAGTCGCAAACATAAAAAAAAACAAAAATCAAATCACGTTTAAACCTATAGTTTAACTATTTTTACATTACTATACGATTGAAATAAATCTGACAACAAAGAGCCGTAGAAATCGAACTGTTACATGCTAAAGACGTCATCAGTGATCTAACGCAGTTTAATAACATAACGTTAACTCCATTTGATCCTCGCAGTTCAAACTATAAATTGATATTAATATAATCAAAATATCGAATTCAAGATATTTGAGTCGGGTTAATAAACTACAATTAACGACGCTCTCGTATTTTTTGTTTAGCAAGTAATGGAAACGCCTATAATAATTCTATAAGAGAAAAGAAATGTATTAAAAAAATCTATGGTGTATACATATATACATATTAGTAAAAATAAAATTAAAAAACTGAATAAATGCCGAACTGAATAAATCAGAATAAAAGCCAAAATTAAAACGAATCATAAATAAAAATAATATATGTATATAATATTTAAAAACGGAAACACAGAGGTAATCAAAAGGCAATCGACCGTTCGTAGTGGGATGGACAAATGCTCCAATATGTCCGAGTCTAAGGGCCTAGTGCTCGTTATTTCTCTTATCGCTGGATCGGCTACGCATGTAGAATCAATTTCCCTTATTTAAGGAGATTAAAGATCCCTACTATTCTTTTTGTATCAAATGTAAAGATCGCCAGACCTATTGCAAGTCGTAATACAATTTCCGTTGGTGACCTAGCGGTATAGGTTAGGTAGATTAATTCACTTTTTTTATTTTTATAATTCATTTTTAATATTTTGTCGTCAGTTATTTAGCCCTCACGTCCTTTTTATTTGATCCGGCGAAACTAATGTTTGTACAATAATTAGTTAATATTGTCACTCAAATATACATTAATTAGTGGAAAGAACTACAAGAGAAGAAAACACGGCCAGAGAAAGGTAAAGTAGAGAATTTTATGAATACTATTAACTTATATATAAATATATGTTTCTCTGTCTTTCTATTTCTTTTCTTATTTATGTTCATTAAACCATGTAATACGAGTTTCATTCTCATTTAGATATTTTAACGAAAGGTTATAATAAATTACTGTTTTAATATATAACGGGTTGTGCCTAATAAAATTCATAGAATATGTGGTTAACAGAAACGATCTGCAGTCCTTTGTGGTTACTCGTACCACCACGGATAGAAGATCGTTTCTGTTACTGCTACGTCAACAGCACTTAAGGGGGTCTTCCTATGTGATGGGTTGAAAAAATCGATTTTTTTTTTTTTCATAAATTGCTCCCTTAACATGTCTAGAATACGGTAGTAAAGCGATTTTATAAAATTCGAAGTCGTTTTAAAGATACAGCAGGTAAAAGAAAGAGCGGTTCGGAGCGGTGAGTTGGCAGTTAGAGACCGGGCCTATTGTGTACCGTCGGCTTTATACCTGGCCTCCCTTTTATTAATATATTTGTTTATACAAGTTTAGACACGTTTCTACAGACTTAAACAGAAATTTCTATTGTTATAATATTTTACCGAAGTTATTTTAGTCTTGGTTGAACTTCGAAGAGAGCAACAGCTACAAATTATTTTTTTTCATAATGAGTGGACGGAAAGGAAGTACGAGTGGAAATGTTCATCCTGGTCGTAGTAAAAAAAGAAAGTTTAGTGGAAACCGTTTTACCCACCAAAAATGGCGTAAGGCTGAAGCTAATAATGAACTGGACCAATTTCATCACGATAAACCACCTCTAATTCCGCAAGTCCAAGAAGCTATCAAACCGGTTTTCGAAGATTTATCGAAAGACGAATTATTAATTCGTTGTTTAGGAGCAGAGACACAAAACAATAACGAATCTTTGAATTCTTTGATTTGGACTTTCGCTCCTAAACATCTTCATTCTGGTCCCAAAGTTGTTGAAATTGCTAGCTACTTAGCAGTTATTATCTTTAATGAAGGTTTTCAAGGTATTTTAAAAGTTATGTCGATTATGGGATGCCCTGTTGGTCGTGAAGCCCAAGCGTATGTTGAGAAACGGGATGAAAAGCGAATCTTACGCTCTGAGCGGCGCGTAAGTGATGTCGTTAAACAAGCCAGGATTGACTCAAGAGCTGAACAATCTGCTTTAAAAGAGTTTCACGAGGAAGAGGAAGGAATACTCTATGGACCAGGCATCGCCGATTGAGAGTAAGTTGATATTTTAATAGTTTTTAACGGACTTGAAACTTTAAACGCGTTTTTCTCAAAACTGTGTTTTTCAAACTTTCCTCCATTGTATCTCAGAAACGGCTGGACCGAATTACTTGAAATTTACAGGGCACACTCAATATATGTAAACGCATGGAATGAACTATTATCAATCGAAAATTTTCAAAACTTCGATTTTTTTATAGCAAAAAACAAAAAAAAAAAACGCCTAATTTGCAACTTTTATTTCAAATGTCTATCAAAAATCCAATTTTTTTTATATTCATTTGATTATAGGTCATTCCGTGCTTTTAAGCCTACAAATTAAAACGCCGTTTTGTTTTTTTTTTCAGATAATCCGATCAGCCGGAATCGTGGAGGAAGTGGGAGCTCTTTTTTTCGAGGCGGGGGTGTTCAGAGCGATGTAACTCTAGTTTGACTGAATATTTTTAGCTGAAATTTTATATTTATACTGTCCAAATATGTGTTAATAAATGATAAAAAACTTGAAGCTCTAAATATTTACTGGTCGTAGAAAAAAAATCCTAAAATATCCCTAAAAAACAGGCCGTCACATAGGAAGACCCCCTTAAACACAAACAGTTTGTTTGTTCTTCTTTATTATAATAGCTACACAATTAATAACTTAAAGGTAAATATGTTGACATGATTACTAATCATATAACATATGAATGTAATGCAAATTATTACATTTCAAAAGTTTTATGCTTATCACTTCCATTTGTACAGTTTAGTATCGTATTTTTAAAGGTCATTGTTTAAACAACAAAAGTCACATACAATGGTTAAATAGAAAAACGTTTATATTATTCGTCACACATCGAGTTTGCCGCTCACAGTAACCGAAACAAAAGGAGGTAGATAATAGGGTATTACCCCAAAGTCGTTTTTCACTCATCCCTCTTCGATTAAAAGATTATTGTATCATTCACGCTAAGCCCGGCCGAATGGAACGAATCCAACGAATTTAATGTTTTTTTCTATTGGTTAAGAAAATGTTCTTTAGTGATTTGTACTACCAATATGGCTAGAGGAAATTCCTAATAATGAGGACTAGGAGTGTACCATTTCTAGCAATATACCATGTTAATCTTGTAAGAAGCACTAATTATGATGGAAGGCTTTGAAGCCGGCTACCGCAAGGGAAACCCCAAGTAGTGCCCGTGACTTGTGACACGGGTGTAGGTTTGAAAGGCCCTTTTAGAATGCATTAACACTCACCTTCACTACTTGCAGCTTCCCCCCAGGCCCAACTAAGACCGGGATAAACCCATTGCTAATACATTTCACTTTAATATCCAAAACACAACCGGCACGCCCTGCGCTAGTCGACTGAATGCCACGGCTCACGCAACGAATGAGGATTATTCAACTACCGACCTCCGTATTTATAGACCTAAGTCAGTGTAGTAGGTTGGTCTATAAATACTAGATGGCGCTATTTACAATATTCGTAATAATCCTTACATTGGATACCTCATTAGTACTAAAAACAAACTACCTTCTTTTAATATATTTTTAAAATATCGATTTTTTTCTACAATAATGATGTGAATTCTAACAATCTGTACGCAGTCCCCCTGGAAACTGTACTAAACTATTCCTAACGAAATCGCTGCCATGAGTCAGCTCACAATCAAAATAATTTATTTACATAGGACCTTTGCCTACCACCTAATTCGACTAGCTAGTTTTTTATGTTACTATTTAACTAACCTGACTTCATTCTCGTCTTATCATCACCTACTGGCGCCAGAATAAATATATACTATACTTATCATGTGGATGCATCATTCGATATCAACAATCGGGGCAAGTAGAGTACCGTAGCACGTCGTATCTCTTTCAATTAGTCATCACTGAATATCATTTTCATGTATATCATCATTATTCTTCATCATCATGATCAGTTTCATCAATCCATCAGTTTTATCATTTTAGGAAACAAATATAACTATATATAATTTTTGTTAGACAATCTTCAACTTCAGATTATATAACAAGATACACATTCATGATGAAACGGGATTGAGCAAAGCTCGGTCACCTAGACACTAAATTATGGAGTTAGAAACTAATTCTCACTCGGCTTGCAGTTCAGCAAATTGTTATAAAGTTTGCACCCTAGTGTACCACAGAGGAAGTGGAC